TCCGTGCTTAGGGTGGCTTCCTGTCCCGGAGCAGCTAATCTGGCCGCTTTGAGAAACAGCCATCGGGAGCCAGGCGTTTATTTGGAAATCTTTACCCCGTCTTTCTGTAATCTATTTTGCAAGCCCCAAATGCTCGTTTTCGTCAGTTCTTCCTTAGATCAGTTTTGCTGAAAGGCCTTTTGATGTCTAACTGGCTTTCTGCTGGCCACACTACTGCTGATGTCATCTGAGCAGGATAGGGTAACTGTAGGAGTGTTCAGCTTTGCTTTTGCTTTTGGCCTTTCTGTTGAGGCAGCACCTGCTGCTTATATGGACTCATGACCTAAAGCCAACTCAGGCCTTCCTTATCCTTAACACTGATAGAGTAGCCTGTTCTAACCTAAGTATATGTAAAGTTTGCCTACTAAATGTGTTCTGATACATCATCTAAAAGCTATAAAAGAGCCACGACGATCCACGAGTGAGATTATGTTGAGTCCTAATGTGATTTTCTTTTTTTGAGTTGGGGTCTCACTCTTTTGCCCAGGCTAGAGAGCAGTGATATGAGCACAGCTCACCACAGCCTTCACCTCCTGGGCTCAAATGACCCTTCTGCCTCAGCCTCCCAAGTAGGTGGGATTACAGACGCATATCAACATCTGGCTTTTTTTTGTTTTTTAAATAGAGATGAGGTCTTACTATGTTGCCCAGGCTGGTCTCAAGCTCCTGGGCTCAAGCAGTCCTCCCATCTCAGCCTCCCAAAATGCTGGGATTATAGGTGTGAGCCACTGCGCCAGGCCCTGATGTGATTTTTCTATCTTTCATTCCTCCCAGCCTCCTCTGGTGGACACACATAACAGCTATGCCTTCTGGGTTCATCAGAATGACTAAAAATCGTTGAAATGTTTAAAACCAAAATCTAACTCTTCTCCCAAAACTTTCCTCCAGATGGACATCAAGCCTCTAATCATCATTTGTGAAACATGTTTTTTCCACCAGCTGGGAAGAAATAGAAAGCTACATTTCACCTTATCAATGTCTACATTTCTTAGCTATCATGAAATCATGGGAGATTTGGTTGGTCTTTGCTAAAATCTAGATACGCTATGTTCCCAACCATTCTCTAGCTTTCAATTTAGTAATCTTGTCCAAAAAAAAAAAAACCAAACCACGGTGGCTTGAATCTGTGTTTACTGAAATCCTCTTAGGTCTCTATGGGTCATCATACTTTTTCCTAAATGCTCACAAATTTTCTCTTTAATAACTTATTCTAGAATATTCACTTATCTGTAGGTTGAGGAATTGAGGCATCCTTTTTTCTGTTTCTTTCTTTTTTTTTTTTGAAAGTCAACACATTATCCAGTCTCCAGTCTTTTCCGTACTTGCGCAAATTTTCTTTGCCTTTGCCTTGAGACTCATCTGAAAATTCTTTCAGCCCTGAGGAATACGCTTTATCTGGTCTGCAGACTTAAACCAGTTAAAAACAACTCTGTTCTATGCTTCTTTACTGGCATCCGTCTTGAGACTGTATCTCTCTGTACTTGTTTTTTTTACCTCTCCTAATCCAAACCCCAAGTTCTGAAGGATTAGTAGAATTTAAGTAGCAGTCATTTCAAGGGAAGAGGACAGCATGAGCAAAGGAACAGAGATTCATTCATTGGACATTTATTTATGGAGATCCTGCTGTGTGTCAGGTAGACACTAGCAATTCAATAGCAAACAAAACAGGCAAAGATCCCTGATCTCATGGACTAGGGGAGAATCAGAAATAAGTAAATAACAATATAAAATGTAAGGATGGTAAAGAGTGTAGTGAATTAAAAAAAAGTAAGGAAAGGGTTAAGAAGTGGAAGTGGATTGCATTTAAACAAAATGGTCAGGGAAAGCCTCTTTGAGATGGCATCAAGTGAGAAAAGAGTTAAAGAGGATGAGGGCACAAGCTCTGCAGATATCTAGGCAAACATTTCCAGGAAGAGGGATCATAAAGGAAAACATTCTGGGAAGAGAGAGAGAGAGAGAGAGAGAGAGAGAGAGAGAGAGAGAGAGAGAGAGAGAGTGTGTGTGTGTGGTGGGGGGTGGTTAAGGGAGGGGAGACGGCATTCTTGTCATTCTCCAGGAGGCCACTGTGGCTGGAGCTGAGTGAACAAAGGAGAAGATGATAAGAGGTGTAAGTAGGAGGGTACAGGAAGAGAATGGGGAGCCCAATCATCTGGGAGACTTTGGGTTTTACTCTGTGTGAGATAAGGAAACACTCTGAACAGAGATTTGACATCTGACTTCCATCCTAAAGTACTACCTTTGCTGCTTTGTTAAGAATAGGGGATTCGGCCAGGCATGGTGACTCAAGCCTGTAATCCCAGCATTTTGAGAGGCCAAGGTGAGAGGATTGCCTGAGCCCACAGGTTCAAGACCAGCCTGGGTAACTTGGCGAGACCTACAATTTAAAAAAAATCAAAAATTAGCTGGGCATGGTAGTGTGCACCTGTAGTTCCGGCTACTTGGAAGGCTGAGGGGGAAAGATCGCCTGAGCCCAGGAGGTCAACACTGCGGTGGCCATGAGCGTTCCACTGCACTCCAGTCTGGGCAACAGAGTGAGACTGCAACTCAAAAAAAGAACAAGGGATTCAGAAAGCCAGACAGCAGAGTGACGAGTGACTTGTCTCCTGAAAGCCAAGTAAAGAACATGAAAGGTGATTGTGATCAGTGAAAGTGGTGAAAATGATCATGTTCTGCGTATACAGAGAGTGCCAAAAAATGTATACACATTTTAGGAAAGGAAAAAACTGTATTAAAATCGTAGATGAATACAAGTCACATTTGACTTCTGCAATTACAAGAGGTGCTCAAAGTGGTTACCATCAGCATCCAGACACTTTTGATTATGGCAAATTAAAAGTAATACATAGATAACATCTCTTAAAATGTGTATAATGTTTTTTTGGCACCCCTGGTAGTTGAAGTTAGAGCCAACAGGATTTGCTGATGGATTCAGTGTGGTGTGAGAGAGAGGAATTAAGGATCATTGCAAGGTTTTGGACCTCACATAAGTATGGAATTGGCCTCATCTGATAAGGTAGATAGTGGGTGAAGCATGTTTTGCATAGTGATGGAGGGAAGGATATTTTGCTTTAGACCTGTTAAATTCGGGGTTTCTTAAGACATTGAAATGGTGAAGCTAAGTTAGGCAGTTGAATATAGAACTCTAGCAGTTCAGTTGAATAAAAGTATATAAATTTCTGAAACTGGGCAACATCACCAAGAAAGTGAATATAAATTTTATTTATTTGTTTGAGTTAAGGTCTCACTCTGTCACTCATGCTGGAGTGCAGTGGCACAATCACAGCTCACCATGGTCTGGAACTCCTGGGCTCAGGCAATTCCACCTCAACCTCCCAGGTAGTTGGGATTACAGGCGTGTACCACTATGCCTTGCTAAATTTTTTTTCTTTTTTCCCGGGGGTGAGGCAGTCTAGCTATGTTGCCCTGGCTGATCTAGAACTCCTAGGCTCAAACAATCCTTCTGCCTTGACCTCCCAAAGTGCTGGGATTACAGGCATGAGCTACTGTGCCCAGCTCATAACTGTTTTTTAAAAAAAGAAGAAGAGAGGCCCAAGGACTGAATTTGGGGGAGCTTAAATATTAAAAGGTCAGGCTGGGTGCAGTGGCTCGTGCACCCAGCACTTTGAGAGGCAGAGGCAAAGGGATTGCCTGAGCCCAGGGGTTTGAGACCAGTCTAGGCAACTTGATAAGACCTCGACTTTACAATAAAATAAAAAAATTAGCTAGGCCTGGTGGTGCATGTCTGTAGTTCCAGCTACCCGGGAGGTTGAGGTGGAAGGAACATCTAAGCCCAGCAAGTCAAGGCTGCGGTAGCTGTGAGCACGCCACTGCACTACAGCCTGGGTGACAAAGTGAGACTCTGATTATTAAAAGGTCAGACGATAAGTTGAAATATAAATAACAAGGTGAGGTAGGAAGAAAACCAAGAGAGTGCAGTGACCTGGAAGCCAAGAAAGGACTTTGACGGGAGAGAGTGATCAACTATGTCAGTGCTACCCATAGATCTAAAAACATGGGAACTGAGAAATGAACACTGGATTTAGCAACATGGAAGTCATTGTTGACCCCGACAGAGATGGTAACAACAGAATATATTTGGAAGACAGCAAGTTAGCAAGAGAAGGTTTATACCGAGAAATAGTTGAAGAAGGATCTGAATGGATAAAG